GCTGGAGTCCAGGCCCTGACTCCCCGACCCACCCCCGCGCGTCCCCAGCTGACGTCGTGCGTCCACGCGTCCTGCGGGCTCCTGTACCCCATGCGCTGGGAGCACGTGCTCATCCCCACGCTGCCCCCGCACCTGCTGGACTACTGCTGGTGAGGAAAGCGGGGCTGAGCGCGGGCGGGCCTGGGGGATGAGGGGGCGGCGCCCGCGTGACCCCGAGCCCTCCATCCGCAGCGCGCCCATGCCCTACCTCATCGGAGTGCACGCCAGTCTCGTGGAGGTGAGCACAGGCCCGCCTGGATGGTGGAGACGGGAGAGACCCACCCACCCCCTTCCATGTCCCCAGCCCGGGCTCCTTGGCTCCCCCGCCCTCCCCGACAGAGAGTGCGGGACAAAGGCCTGGAGGACGTGGTGGTGATGGACGTGGACGCCAACACCCTGGAGACGCCGTTCGACGACGTGCAGGCGCTGCCCCCAGACGTGGTCAGTGTGCCCCGTCCCCCAACACAGTCCTGCTCGTGGCCGCGCGGAGGCCGCACACCTGCCCTGGTCAGCGCCACCGCTCTGTCCCCCAGGTGTCGCTGCTGCGGCTGCGGCTGAGAAAGGCCGCGCTGAGCCCCGGGGAAGGAGTGTCCCGGCTCTTCCTCAAAGCCCAGGCCCGCCTGTTCGGAGGGTACCGCGACGCGCTCCTCTGCAGAGAGGTAAGCCGGGAGGGTGGGCGCGGCTTCCTGTAAGGACGACGCCAGGCGCTTGGGCGGGGCTTCCCGGGTGTGCCTCTGCCCATCCGTAAAATGGGACTCCCAGAGTCACCACGCACAAGGGTCGACGCGTGGGCGAGGCGGCACAACCCACTCCCTTGGAAGAGTGCCTGGCATGGAGCGAGCGCCCGATGGATGCCAGTTTGCGGGCGCACGGCAGAGCTGGGAGATGGACGCTGCCCTGGTCCCATTTTCTGCAGGGAGAAACCAGGGCTTGGAGAATCTTGGGGGTCTGCAGTGTGATCTGAGCATCTGCCGTCCGCTGCCCCCTCTCCCATGCCGTACCTGGGTCCCCCTCCTGTCCCAGCTCACCTACACCAGTGCCCCCGCCTCGCCTCACCTGTGAACACCTGAGTCAGGTTCCAGCCCAGCTCCTCCCACAGCCCTCCGTGGCTCCCACCTCCCCCCACCCCCAGGCGGAGGGTCACCTCCTCCCCGCCACCCACAGACAACAGGCGCCCAACCGGTGCTTGCAAGGGGGCCAGCTGGTGCAATTCGGGAAGTCACTGCTGGCCAAGGGAGCTCAGGATGCGGGTCCTTGTCCCAGGGCCAGCCCATTACTTTCAACGAGGAAGCCTTCTTGAGCCAGAAGCCTGGGGCGCCCCTGCAGGCCTTCCACCGGCGCGCCGTGCACCTGCAGCTCTTCAAACAGGTGTGCCGGAGCCCTAAGGGCGGAGGCGCCCGGCGGGAGGTGCATTCCAGGGTCGAAGAGGAGGGGCGATGCTGCGGGCCGGGCTGGGGTTGGGGGAATTCCCCACTCCCACGCCCGCAGTTGAAGAAGACTGGACTGAACTCTTGGTTCCTAATACCTACTCCTGGACCCCTGGGAGGCTTAGTGTGGGCCCAAATTCTGGGGCCCCTAACCGGGATCCTCCTGGTCCGGGTTGGGGGTCTGTGCGGAACTCCCTTTCCATGGCAGGGGGAGGCAGGCAGGCAGCGGCTCCTGCGTCCTAGGAGAGTGGGGGAGGGGACTCCAGGGTCCTTTTGGTGTGGGGCGGAGTACTCCAGGCTCCCGGGTCTCTGTGAGGTGAGATCTGGCCCCCTGGGGACAGGTCCTGAGTGGGGGTGGGGTGGGGGCTTCTATAGCTTAAGGACAGGCTGACACCCCAGTCCTAGCAGTCAGAAACTCCCACCTTCTGCCCCTCCGTAGTTCATCGAAGGCAGACTGGAGAAGCTCAACGCTGGCGAGGGCTTCTCCGATGCCTTTGAGCAGGAGATCACCTGCTGCGGGACCTCCTCAGGTGAGCCGGGAGCACGGCCCCCGGGCACCCACCCAGCGGCACCCAGAGCCCGCGCCTGCCTTTGGGAATCATCTTGTGTGCTCTCTCCCCACTCCAGGCACCATCCGCTCCTACCAGCTCTGGGCTGACAGTCTCAAGGTAGTCACACCCAACCCTTAACACAGTGCTTATTATGGGATCGGTAGTCCCTCCCCCCCCCCACCAGGAACAGGTGAGCAGCTGGAGAGGGAGCACACTCGTCCAGCCACACACAGCAGAGAGGGGAGTGCGGAGGTGGGGCCTGGAGTCCAGTTCTAGCGACCCAGGGGCCCACGCCTGTCTCCATTGGTGTCTTCTCTTCCCAGAAAGGTGGGGGTGCTCTCTTGAATTCGGTCAAAGCCAAGACCCAACCAGCCGTCAGGCACATGTACCGCTCGGTGAGCCTGCACCTGCCGGGGTGGCAGGAGGGAGGGAGGAAAGGACATTGCAACCCTGCATGGGGAATGGGACTTTCTTCTTAAGATTTATTTGAAAGAGTGGAAGAGAGAAAAGGCGAGACAGAGATCTTCCATCTGCTGGTTCACTCCCCCAATGGCCACAAAGGCTGGGGGCTGGGCCGAACCAAAGCTGGGAGCCCACAACTCCATCGGGGTCTCCCACAGGGCGGGCAGGGGTGCAAGCATTTGGGCCAGCTTCCACTGCTTGCCCAGGCACCTTAGCAGGGAGCCAGACTGGAACTGGCATTCCTGTATTTCCCAAATCACACAACACCGGCCCTGGGGTTTGGATGCTCTGACTCCCAACATTTATTTAAGAATGAACGTTTTTATCGGAACATAACCAGTCGCTAAACCACGAATAAGTCTTCCCACTTTTATTTGCCGTCAACCATCCCCAATTTTTGTGGGGATCATTTCTTGCCTACTGAAAATCGACAGCCAAGAATCATTGGCAGCATCTGTTGTCCCCCTCAGCAGGGACAATCCCAGCATCCGTCCTGGCGTCTGTCTCTTCCGAGCCCAAAGGTCTCCCGGAGCCAACCATTGCAGCGGAGTGTCACGCATTCCGTTTTGCTCTCGGCTTGGAGACAGTGACACATTTTTACAATGTGGTTTCGCCACTCCCAATTTGATTTGGGACTTATTCCTTCTTCCAGGAATGTTCCTTCTGTCTTAGCCAAAGAGGTGAAAGTTTGCGTGGACTTCTTAGGCGGGACATGGGAGGCACGAGTATATTTGGGCCACGCAGAGCCGGACACAGGGCTGTCCAGGTCCCAGTCACCTTTGGGTCTAAGTAGCCCTTGCTCCCCCACAGGCCAAGAGCAGCCTGAAGGGTATGCAGAGCCTACTGCTATACAAGGTAAGACCCGCCCACGGCCGATGCCCCAAGCAGGTGGAGGAAGGGGCTCCCGTCTCAGGCATCCTTTTCCTAGGATGGGGACTCCGGCCTGCAGAGAGGAGGCTCTCTGAGGGCCCCCGCCCTCACCAGCCGATCAGACCGCCTGCAACAGCGCCTGCCCATCACCCACCACTTCGGACAGGTATGGCAGCTGCCTCTCCCCCGCCTCCTCCAGGGACATCTCTCCTTCCTTCGCCCACCCCCCATAGCTGATGCTGGCTACCAACTCCCTGTCCTCCAGAAGGACTCTAGGACTCTGCAGCTCCTGAGTCTCCCCCTTCCCCAAATCTGTCTCTGTGCAGAACCGGCCCCTCCGTCCCAGCAAGAGACTCCGGCTGGAAGAGGGTCCTTCTGAGTCCTTAGGGCAAGGGTGAGGTTGAAAGAGGAGGGCTGGGGCTGATGCAGGGAAGATGGGCTCCTAAACCCCACAGCATGCAGGGAAATAAATATTGGAGGTTGCCTGTCCTCCCCCTACCCAGGACACTTTCTTTGAGCCCCGAGGATGTGCAGAGCCCCTGGGCGGAGGAAGCCCTAGACGGCAGCTTCTTGGGGTCCGGAGAGGAACTGGATTTGTTGAGTGAGATTCTGGACAGCCTGAGCGTGGGAGCCAAGAGCATGGGCAGCCTGAGGCCAAGCCAGAGCTTAGACTGCTGTCACAGAGGGGACCTGGACAGCTGCTTCAGCCTGGTGAGAAGCCCGCTACTGCTGCCTCAAACGCCCGGGGCAACCTGCCAGCTTCGCCCATCTAAAGTCCAGCACCTTGCCTGTGCTTCCTCCCTGCCCAGCCTGACATACCGGGAAGACAGAGATGGCAGTCCGAGTATGGGAAACCGCCAGAGCCCCAGCCCCTGTCCCTGCCTGCGCACCTGTCGCTCCTGCAGCACGCCCCGGCTTTGGATGCCACCTGCACCTCAGAGAACCCCGATCCCCAGCTGCCTGCCGGAGACCACCGGGACACCATCTCCACATCCCAGTCCTTCATGGCTTCCGCAGACCCCAGCAGCCAGGGGCATCCCCAACTCCCTCCTCTCGTGGAACCCCTCATCCTTCGTCTGTCCCCTCCCCGAGAGGCAGCTGAAGATTCCGGAGCCTTGGACAGCCCCTGCTCTAGACTCTCCGCAGCACCCACCCAACCCAGCCCCCCAGAAAGCCCTCAACTTCCAAGCCCCAACTCGGAGCCTGCCTGCACCTCCCAGCCTCTGGACTTTTCCTTGGACTCCGGTTCTCCAGAGCACCCCCAAGCTCAGCCTCCCGAGGTCTCGCTAGAGCCTGCTCCTTGTCAGCCCCATGAGGAACTAGGAGCCCCCTGTGCCCCCACAGCACCCCCCCGAAACTGGCAGGAGCCCCCAGCCAGGAGCCAGTCCCGAGTGGCTGATCTGAAAAAGTGTTTTGAAGGCTGAGGATCGGATCGGCAGCCTGGAAGAGACCCCCAGTGCCCCGCCATAAAGCTGCAAGAGCCTAAAGCTGTTTTTCCTGGTGCTTTTATCCGGGGCCTGAAACTCACTCCACCCCCCGGCCCCCCTCCAAGGACCCTCTCCTCCAGGAAGCCCTCCCTGCTCCATCCTCTGAGGTCCTTGCAACTTTGCAACTCATGTCTTCATTTGTCTCTTCCAGCCAGGCTAATGCCTGCAGCAGCTCAAACGGCTTTTATTATCTCTCTCTCTGGCAATTTCATATAAATATATACAAACTGAGCAGCCCCACCCTCCTTTGCCCTCCGAGCAGACTTCGAAGCACCTCGCCCCCCCCCCTCTATTCCTAAACACTGAGTGAGTCTGGTTGCCCAGGGAGGCCACAGCATCTCCCCCCAGGTTACACAGCAAGGGAGGAAGATGGATGGAAGAGAGGAGACCTAGATGGGCAGGCAGCCCCGCACCGTCTCCTTCGAGTCCTGGGGGGCCTGGGCCTCGGCTGCATGGGAGAACTGAAAGAAAGGAGAGAGGGCTGTGGGGGCTGTCCTGGGGCTGCAGAGGGAAGGTGGGAGGTGCAGGGAGCAAGGAGGCGGGTCCCCAGCCCCCGCAGCCCCAGCTGCAGGCAGAGGCACCAAGCAGAGGCAGCATGCGCTACAGAGAGGACCACTGGGCGGCGCCCCCCCCACGGCCCCCCAAGTCCTCGGGCGCCTTCAGAGGCCAGTGTCTCAGTGGCGGCTGCTGTGTGAGAGCGAGCACCGGGTAGTCCTGAGCAGTAGTGTCGGCTGCAGCGGGGCCAGGCACTCAGATGAGCCGCTCCTCCGGGGGCAACTTGAGGTTGGGAGGCGGCGGCGCCCGGGCACCCACCTGCTCCTCGCTGCTGGGCCGGTAGGTGCCCTCCGTCTGCCGCTTCTCCCGAAGCTTCCGCACCAGCAGTACCAACAGCAGCACCACAACCAGGACGCCCAGGATGGAGAAGACCACAATGATGGCGGTGATGGCCCCCTGGGACTGCGCAGAGGGGACAGGGGCAGGTGAGACCCACCTGGGTCTGAGGCTCCCAACAGCGCCTCCCCCCCCCCACACACACACCTTTGCCACTTTGGTGACCTGGTCCCCACCCCTCCTACCGTGTCTCAGATGCACCTGCTGCATCTGGACTCCTGCCCTCACCTCACCTGCTTGCTTGGGGCTCCTGAAAAGTATAGGAGGTTCCTGTCCCCCTCGGGGTCTGCCCACTTGCCCCATCACTATTCTGGTCTCTTCCACTTGGGACCCTCCACTGGCCCGGTGACCTGCCACCGCTGGGGAGGGAGTGGGTCTAGTGGCTTCCACCTGCTCCCCACCCCAGCTGCCCCTCTTCCCACCGATACCCCCAACTCACCAGGCCCCCATTGGAGCTGGGGCTCGTAGGCGGGACACTGCTGGTATCATTTAAATGCAGGTCCGGTGTGGAGACAGCTGCGTGGACAGCACAAGTCAGTCCCTTCACCCTTCCCATCTCAGCCCCTCTCTTCCCTCCCTGGGCGGCCCCCTGCTCCCTAGCCCCTAGCATTTGCTCCTAGGGCCCTGCAGGGGGTACCCAGCCTCCAGTTGTTTGTTCAAGGCTATTATCACCGGAAGTGTCCGAAACCCCCCTCCCCCCTCCCCCTCACCTCTCAGCCTCTCGACCTTAAGGATGTGGGCGGGTCCTGCCTTTTCCCCGGGGAGTGTCTGACTCACACCTCCCCCCAGGCTCCCGAAACTGGAGTAAACTGAAGGAATGACTAGCATGCTGGGTGCACACCCGGAGGTAGCCAGACCTGTCAACCAGGACTCAGAGTCCCCCCGTCCGGAAGCCTCTGCCCCCAGCCCCAGCAGAAACACAGCCTAGAGACACACGCCACCCACCACCCCCCAACTCCCACCATACAGCCAGGCACCAAAATGTTCAACACCAAGTCCAACGGCCCAAGGAAGAAACTAGAAAAATCCCAACTCCGATACCTCCCAGGCCAGCTCCCCAAATTCTTGACCCTCTCTGTACCCAGCACTTGTACGCCCCACCCCCAAGCAGAGAGAGAACCAGCCAGGAATCCGGACCCCTCCCGGCCCCCCGGCGGCGGCGGCGGCCAGCTCCTACCTTGAGCCCAGGCTCGGCCCCAGCGAGCCGGCAGCAGCTGCAGGCCGATCGCCAGGAGCAGCCCCAGCGCGGGGGTCGCCATGGGCTCGGCGCCGGGGTGGTGGTGCCGAGACGGGAGCGCGCCACTGCTACCGCATCACGGGCCGGGGGTACCTGCGACTGGGCACCTGGGCGCGGGAGGAGAGAAGCCGAAGCCTGGGGTCGGCGGCCGGACCCGGGCGCAGGCCCACGGGGGAGGCGACGCGTACCAGGGCACCCCGGAGTCCCGCCCCGCCCCCCGCCGCCAGAGGTCAGAGATTAAAGATTAACTCCCGGGCGCGCGTTCCCGGGCTGCGGAAAAGGGAAGAACGCCGGGCTAAGCCGCGCGCCCTTCCTCCCTACCTGGCCCGGGCGTCTTCGACCTCGCACAGGTTCCCTGTCCCGGGTCCCTCACTCCAACCCTCGGTCAGTGCGTCGGTCGCTCGGTCCGACCCCACCGGCCCCGCCCGCTCATGTGACCCGGAAAGTTTAGTCACTCACCTGGGAGGGGAGCGCACTTCCGGCTTGTGCACCTGAGCCTAGATAGGAGGGCGGAGCCCAGAGGGGGCGGGGCCGCGCCGCGGGCGCACCTGTAACGGGAACCCAGTTCCATAAAGGGGAGGGGTAAGAGACTAGGCGAAAGCGCGCAGGTGTGAGAGGAACCTCACACCTGGATGACGGGTGTGTGTGCAGGATCGCACCCAAACTTGTAGACGCTCGTGCAGGAGGGCACTCGGATGGGGCCTAATGAGAAGAGAGCGGTGTGCTACACACCTGGAGGGGAGCAGACCTGTGTAGCAGCCGCGTGCACGGATGTTCCCGTGGGAGGGCGCACGGGAGCCACCCGCGCTGAATCACATCCGCACGGAGCATGGCTGGATGGACGAATGAATCGGACAGCTGACTGACACGGTCTGGATTGGAATACACCTGTTTTGGAAAGACGAGCTGCATGGCTCGCCCACGAAGGGGGCATCCTTGTCGGGGGGTTGTTTCTGTGGGGGGTAGGAATCGGCAGAGGGGGGTTGGCTGGAGCAACACCTGTTGAGAAACATACCTGTGAAGTGAAAGGACCTGTGAAGTCGAGACGGGGAGCACCTGTATGGAGTCGAGCCCAGACGAGGAGACCTGGGGACATCCGCACAGGGACGCACAGAGTTGGGGAGGATCAACAGGACAAAGGTTTGCGCATACTGAGGCCCACCTGTCAGAGATGCACCTGTGAGAAAACACCTGTTTGGGAGAGCGCCATGGGAGAATCATCCTCGTCCCTCCAGGTCGGAGAGCACCTGCAAGAAACAGCTGTGAATGCAGTCATCCGCTAGGGAGCTTGGGACGCACCTGTCCCAGCACACACCTGTCGGAGCTGAGGCCAGACAGGGAGCCAAAGGTGCCCTCCCAGCTGCATCTCTGGATAAAGGCTGAGGATAATAACAAGACCCCCACCCCCAGGCGGAGGAACTCCTGGGTGAAAAGTGGCGGCTGACGGGTAACGGACCCCGTTTCTTGGGGACAGACAGCACCGCCTACCTTCCAGGGTCGAGGCGTGTGCGCCGCACTGGCTCGCTCAGGGTCGGCTACTGTGGTCACTCTTCGCGGTCCAGGGTTTCTGGCCGACCTCCCTCCTAAGGGTGAGTCCGAGAAAGCCAAGGACGGGACATTCAGCAGGTGCACGGAGCGCGGCCGGGTGGGGCCCCGCCCCCAGCGCGCAGACACCCGGCCCTGCTCCCCAGGCGTGCCCCGGACGCTGCTAAGACCTCCTCACGCCGGTCCCGAGGAAGCGGTTGGCCCGGTGTCTGGATCCCGCTGCGGCCCCTTTAAGACGGCCGGGCGGGCGCTGGGGCTGCGGGGTTCAAGGCTGCCCGGGCTCCGCGGGGAGGCCCCGCCCAGGTGGGAGGACGGGGAGGGGCGGGCGGGCGCCGCTCAGGCGGCTCTGGCCAATAGGAGAGCGACTTGGCCGCCGGGCCGCGTGTTGATCTTCCGTTTCCCGATCCGAGTGGGCTGAGAAAGCAGGCGCGCGGGCGGGATGAAGGGATTGAGGGAGAGCTTCGCGTTTTGATCTTCTGTTTCGGTGGCTCAGTAGGGAATACAATAAGCGCGAGCGGGCAGATAAAGCGCTGGATGGCGCAAGGCTCACGCGTACGTCAGGGAAAAGCGAGAACTTTAGTTCCTAAAGAGGATTAGTAAAGGAAGGAGGTCAGGTGGAAGGAGATTACGAAACCCAACCCCGGGGCATCTACTTTGCTAGTTCCCTTGGGGTAAAGGAGAAGTGGGTAAACTGAGGCAGCAGAGGCTGAAACTCTGGTGTTCCCTCGGCTGTGCAGCACCGGAGCAGCTGAGGCTCCCCTCCCCACGCCCCCAGCTCCGCCCTCGGCCCCCTCCTTCCCGTCCCCCCCCCCTTTCACCTCACCAATGCGGGCCGGGGGAGGAGACGTAAGATCTGGCGCGGGCGGCGACGGCTAGCGGTTATCACCTCCCGCAAGTGCCAGAGCCCGGCGGGCCGCGCGGAGGCTGCGCTGCCCGTGGCCGCGGAGCTGGCCCTGCGGGGCCCCGGGGGGGGAGGGGAGCCGCCAAGCCCCCGCCGAGGCCGCCGCTGCCGGGCCTCCCCTCCCCCCCCGGGCGGGCGCCATGCGGGGGGGCGCAAGCGACGCGGAGCGGCGGCAGCGCTGGGGTCGCCTCTTCGAGGAGCTGGACAGTAACAAGGATGGCCGCGTGGACGTGCACGAGTTGCGCCAGGGACTGGCCAGGCTGGGCGGGGGCGACCCAGACCTCGGCGCCCGACAGGTACCCCCTGCTGAGACGACACACATACACACACCCTCCCCCACTTCCCCAATCTGCGCACGGGGACGCGCGGCCGGCCGCCAGGACCACCTGTGGCTGGCCCTGGGACCTCCTGCTCTCTCCCTGCCCCCTGCACCCTGCACCCTGGGTCTGGCCTGCGACTGCACCCCCCCTCCCCAGGGCCTGGAACTCCCTGCCCCACTGCCCGGGATACACCCTCCTGTGGACCTGCAGGGCTCCCGGAGCCGCGCCCCAAACCCACCTCGGAGAGACACGCCCTCCGCGGCCGTCCTCTGGGCTCCCAGCCTCTGTTTACCTGGCCTGGCCTGCCCACTCCCGGGCCTGGCTCGCTGCCCCGGGTGCCCCAGGCAGGAACCCAGTGCTGTCTGCGGAGGCCGGCCCGAGGCAGGAACCCCCCCCCAGCCCCAGCCCCCTCCCACTTTGCAGGTGTCTTCCATACCTGTGGCCCCAGGTGCCCCTGTAGTCTCTTCACAGCCCCTTACACAGAACTCCCACCTGGCTGGCGGTGGCCCAGGGACTCTCTGAGAGGGAACTCCTGAGGCTACCACGTGGACGGGCTTTGCTAAGGGGCAGCTAGCTGGACATGCTTGGCAGACAAGAGCCCAAGGTCATCGCCTCCCAGCCCTGTGACCTTGAATGAAAGGCCTCAGTTTGCTGGCTGGAGCCGGGCGACACACCTAGCACACATCTTGTGGTCTTGGGCTTCCGGGAAGAAGTGAGCTTCTGGGGCGAGCGGGTGTGTCCCCCCCGGCCCTTCCTCTAGGCGCTGGGGGGCTCCCGGCTTGCCCCTCGGCAGGCGGCAGTCTCCTGGAGCTCTCTCCCCGTCTGTCTCCTTCCCTTCCCGGCTGCCAGGCCATCTCCCCCGAGGGTGACGCTGACCCAGATGCAGGGCTCAACCTGGAGGAATTTTCCCAGTACCTGCAAGAGCGGGAGCAGCGCCTGCTGCTCATGTTCCACAGCCTTGACCGAAATCAGGACGGTCAGTAAGGCCCACGGGCCGGGCCGCGGCGATGGGGGCGGGGGCTGGCCTTGCTGGGCAGCGAGGGGAGGGCTAGAGTCCCTGAATGACTCACAGGCTATTTCGGGAGCTCTCCTCACCCCACCCCACCCCCCAGCTAGGTGGTTCGAGGCCCAGCCAGCCCAGCCCACCCCCTCTTCCTTCCTGGAGTGGGACCCCCAATTTTATCCTCCCTCGCCTTGCATTGCTCTTGGGTCCAGTGTGGGACAGAGACCCTCCCTCATAGCATCTTTTGGGTTCTCACTCTGTCCCTGGAGCCCTGCGGCGTGGGGACCCTGAATCCATTCATGCACTCATAGGACAGAGGACCACGCTCCCGCGCACACACACCCTGATACCACACAGCCCACATCTCTGATCCCGACGGATCAGGAATCCCTGACAGCGCGGCCACAGACCTCACCCTGGGCTGCCCTGAGTCCAGTTCCGCCAGGGCCGCTCCGAGATGTCCCGTTCCTTAACCCTGGGGTCCCTCCCAACACGCACACACATCCTGCCTGCCTCGGCCCCCGCCCAGGTCACATCGATGTCTCTGAGATCCAGCAGAGTTTCCGAGCTCTGGGCATCTCCATCTCGCTGGAACAAGCCCAGAAGATTCTGCACAGGTGAGTCGCTGGGGGTCCCAGGTAGCTCCGCCCCCCCCACCCCACCCCCGGGGAGGTGGGTGGAGCTGCCGCGTTGAACTTTGGAATCAGGCGGAGCCCGGAGCAGTCGCTGCCTCTCTCTGAGCCTCAGTTTCCTGCTCTATAAAATGAGAGCGATGATACCATCTCCCCCATAAGGCTTCTGGGAGGAACCAACTTGGGACAGCCGGTGGCCCCGGCTTAGAACACGGCTAGGCGTGGGGCGAATCCGCAACGCTCAGGGTCTCCCTGCAAACCTGCAGAATCGGGAGGCACCCGACCCCCAGCCACTGAGCCTGTCCTCTTGCCACCCCTCAGCATGGACCGAGACGGCACGATGACCATTGACTGGCAGGAATGGCGCGACCACTTCCTGCTGCACTCCCTGGAAAACGTGGAGGATGTGCTGTTTTTCTGGAAGCATTCCACAGTGAGCTGGGGGCGGTGCCTGCAGCCCAACAGTTGAACCTTCTCCTCCGGTGTGCAGGGGCCTTGCTCTGGTCTCCCCAGGCCGTGGCCAGGCCAGGACTCCACCAGAGGTGGCCCTGGCTGACAGCAACTGGAGTGGGAGGAAGCTGTTGGTGTCCTCCTGGGCCTGGAGCCCCATCTGGGAGCCTCTGCTCTCTGAGAGATTGGAGCTCTTCAGACTTATGCTGGGGCTTGGGGTGCGGGGTGGGGGAGGGGCAGCGGGTAGGGACTGGGGGTGCAGGGAGGAAGGAACACACCAGATGGGGCTCCAGGCCTCCAGCCCTCAACCCACACAGCTCCCTCCACTCCTGCTGGGTTCTCTTTGTCTCATAAAGGATCCTACTGCTGATCGGAAAAGTTAGGAAAGCCACTGCCTTCTGGGGTCCCAAGAATTTCTTCTCGTAGGATCTGATAGCATTAGGAGGGATCCATCCGTGAGATGGAATATCGGGAGACCCCCACCCTGGAGGATCCATGGGGGCCTTGCTTGGGGATTCTGTCTGTGGACCCTGGCTGGAGGGGGCAGGGTGGGAGGGATCCCTATGTGATCTGTTGAGGCCCCGGGGGGGGATCTGCTGGGATCCTTACATGGGCTGCTTCCTGGTAGGATCTCCTATGGCCCTGGAGGAATCTTCGCATGGAGACCCTTCAGTGGGGTCCCTCCGAGGGGTCTTTATGCGTGGCAGCCGATTGAGTAGGATCCTTTGGTGGGGTTTGCTGGTCTTCAGGAATGATCCTGGGATCTTACAGGGAGACCCCTGATTGCAGGTTTTGGTGGCATCCCATGGGATCCATAGGGACCTCCTGAGCTGTCCGAGCGAGATTCGTCCTCAGACCCCCTGGGGTATCCAGGGGCTGGTGGAGAGAATCCTCGTTTAGGACCAAGTCCCTGCCATGGCCTGATGCCCGTGGCCCCTTCACCCTCAGGTCCTGGACATCGGCGAGTGCCTGACGGTGCCGGATGAGTTCTCCCAGAAGGAGAAACTCACAGGCATGTGGTGGAAGCAGCTGGTGGCCGGCGCCGTGGCAGGGGCTGTGTCTCGCACAGGCACGGCCCCCCTGGACCGCCTCAAAGTCTTCATGCAGGTGAGGGGCCCTGAAGGGGCCCAGCCTCTTGCCCCAGGCCTGGACCCAAGGTGGGTGGGAACAACACAGCCCCTTTCTCTCTGCACCCAGGTCCACGCCTCAAAGACCAACCGACTACACATCCTGGGGGGCCTGCAGAGCATGATCCGCGAGGGGGGCGTCCTCTCCCTGTGGCGCGGCAATGGCATCAACGTGCTCAAGATCGCCCCGGAGTCGGCCATCAAGTTCATGGCCTACGAGCAGGTGCGGGCAGGTGCCGGGGGTGGCGTGCTGGGCTGGAGGCCCCGTGGGGTTAGGCTTGGGGTGGGGAGGTGCAGGAGACCCCGGGAGGAAGCATCTGTCGCCTGCATGCTGCCCACAGCAGGCCAGTGCGGTGGATGCACAGAAGGCCCCACCCCTGAGTTTGTGTCCCACCCCACCCCCCCAGATCAAGCGGGCCATCCGGGGGCAGCAGGAGACGTTGCATGTGCAGGAACGCTTTGTGGCCGGCTCCCTGGCTGGCGCCACGGCCCAGACCATCATCTACCCCATGGAGGTGAGGAGGAGGGACCCAGGGCAGGATGGGGGACTGGCCCTCACCACTTCTCCATGTGCCCGGGGGTGTAGCCTGTCAGGCTCCCCCCACCAGCTGGAGTTATACCTTCACACTGGGACAGCAGTCTTTTTGGGAGCTAGCTTTTTTGTCTAAAGATGGACTGCTTGTTCCTGGGGAGGTTATTTCTGGGTCTCGCTGTGTTCGGAGAAATCGCGGCCAGTTCCAAACTGTGCAGCGTGCCTCGTTAGGGTGCTGAAAGTGACGGAACACTCAAACCACGTTAACTGGGGTCTAGAGAAGATCCGCTGGGGCCTGGGGTGGTGGCCTCGGAGTGTCAGAAGTCTGGGATGCTGCCTTCTGTCAATCATGTCGTATTATTGTGGCATCCACCTCGTGGACCAACATAGCTGCTTGTGCTCCTCTCATCACATTCCACATTTCCGAGAAGGAAAAATACCTTTAAAGAGGCTTTCTCAAAGTCATGTATCCTCTTTTCTGCTTCTGTGTCACTGGCCTGGACTTAGGGAAGCTGGGGACAGTAGTGTCTCTCTCTAGTGGCTGTGTATTTGTTGAAAATTCTATTGTTCAGGGAGAAGGGCATAAGATATTGGGTGGAGGCTTAGTGGTGGCTGCCCCATGCCATCCTTCCAGGCGTGCCAGTCTCCAGCTGTCTTTTTTCTGGGTGTTAGTGGTTTGGCAGGAGTGGGGGAGGGGGCTTTCTTCCAGGAATAACGGAGCCCTCCGCAGGTGCTGAAGACGCGGCTGACGCTGCGCCGCACCGGCCAGTACCAGGGGCTGCTGGACTGCGCGAGGCAGATCCTGGAGCGGGAGGGGCCTCGAGCCTTCTACCGCGGCTACCTGCCCAACATGCTGGGCATCATCCCCTACGCGGGCATCGACCTGGCCGTCTACGAGGTTCGTGGGCTCCCCGCCCCTCCCCCACCCCACCCACAGCACACTCCTTCCCCTGGGCTCGCTCCTCCCGGCTTCCACTCTTCCACTGCAGGAATTTTCTTCTTTAAGATTTATTTATTTTGAAAGAGTTAGAGAGAGAGAGAGAGAGAGAGATATCTTCGGCCCACTAGTTCATTCCCCGGATAACTACAATGGCTGGTGAGGCTGAAGCCAGGAGCCAGGAGCTTCACCTTGAACATCCCAGGTGGGTGCAGGAGCCCCAGGATTGGAAGTGGAGCAGCTGAGACTCGAACTAGCACCCGTATGGGATGCTGGCGTCCCAGCCGGTGGCTCGACCCACTACGCCACAGCGCCCACCCCTGCAAGAACCTTTAGCTTACAAGTCAGCCATGGTGGGTCACCTGAAAGGTGGGGACCACTATAGCCCACACAGTCATGAAAGAGCAGGAAGGACGACGTCAGACATGCCCAAAGCGTGTATCGGAGCCCGCCTCTGTCTCCAGGCCTGCCCGAGTGAGCCCAGCCGTCGCCATAGAAACCGTACCCCCCCACCCCGAGCAGCATCTTGGGGTTTGCTGAGGCAGAGGCGGGCATGGAGAATTTTTGCGTTCTCCTCCGAGGGGGGGCCTTATCCCTTGGTTTGATCTTTTTCCTGGATGACATCACCAGCTCCTCCCAATGAGCACAGCCCTGGATGTTCTCCGCTCCCCCCCCTCACCCCAGTCTGTGCCAGCCCAGACCAGAGAGAGCCGGTTCCCGACTGTGCCTCCTGTGCCAGGCCAGCGGGCCCCCCGCCTGGAGACCCTGCCGCTGCTGCTGTCTTTTTTTTTTTTTTTTTTTTTTTTTTTGACAGGCAGAGTGGACAGTGAGAGAGAGAGACAGAGAGAAAGGTCTTCCTTTTTGCCGTTGGTTCACCCTCCAATGGCCGCTGCGGCCAGTGCACTGCGGCCGGCGCACCGCGCTGATCCGATGGCAGGAGCCAGGAGCCAGGTGCTTCTCCTGGTCTCCCATGGGGTGCAGGGCCCAAGGACTTGGGCCATCCTCCACTGCACTCCCTGGCCACAGCAGAGAGCTGGCCTGGAAGAGGGGCAGCCGGGACAGAATCCGGCGCCCCGACCGGGACTAGAACCCAGTGTGCCGGCGCCGCTAGGCGGAGGATTAGCCTAGTGAGCCGCGGCGCCGGCCTACCGCTGCTGTCTTGAAATGGAATCTTTTTTTTTTTCTTTTTTTTCTTTTTTTTTTTTTTTTGTAAAGATTGTTTGACTTATTTGAAAGGCAGAGTTAGAGAGAGGGAGAGACAAAGAGAAAGAGGGAGATCTCCCATCCGCTAGTTCACTACCCACATAGGGCACAATGACCAGGAGCCAGGAACTCCATCCGGGTCTCCCAGGTGGGTGCAAGGGCCCAAACACTTGGACCTTTCTTTGGCTACTTTTCCAGGCACCTTTGCAGGAGCTAGATCAAAAAATGGAGCAGCCAGAACTTGAATCGGGGTTCGCAGGGGCTGCCGCTGTCACAGGTGGCAGCTTAATCCACTGAGCCACATCACCAGCTGTTGAGTTTTTGTTTTTTTTTTTTTTTTTTTTTTTAACGAAGGACCTAGTCTGTTTTGCATTACTATAAGAATGTACCTTAGGGTCAGCGCTGTGGTGCAATGGGTTAAGCCACCATCTGTAATGACAGCATCCTGCACGGACACTGGTTCAAGTCTTGGCTGCTCCACTTCAGATCCAGCTCCTGGCTAATGGGAGATGGGCCCCTGCTCCCATGTGGGAGCATAGACCTAGAGGAAGCTCCTGGCTTCTGGCTTCTGTCTGGCGCAGCCCCGGCTGTTGTGGCCATTTGGGGAGTGAACCAGCAGATGGAAGAGTACTCTCTCCCCCTCACTCTCTCTAACTCTGGCTTTCAAATAAGTCAATTTTTTTTTTTTTTTTTAAGAAAAAGAAAGGTTCAAGGCCAGTGCCGTGGCTCAATAGGCTAATCCTCCACCTTGCAGCACCGGCACACCAGGTTCTAGGCCTGGTCGGGGCGCCGGATTCTGTCCCAGTTGCTCCTCTTCCAGGCCAGCTCTCTGCTGTGGCCCGGGAGTGCAGTGGAGGATGGCCCAAGTCCTTGGGCCCTGCACCCGCATGGGAGACCAGGAGAAGCACCTGGCTCCTGGCTTTGGATCAGCGCGATGCGCCAGCCACAGCGCACCGGCCACGGCGGCCATTGGAGGGTGAACCAACGGCAAAGGAAGACCTTTCTCTCTGTCTCTCTCTCTCACTGTCCACTCTGCCTGTCAAAAATTTAAAAAAAAGAAAGGTTCAGGGGCTTTGGGGCAAGGATTTGGGCAGAGCCAGAGGAAGAGAGAGATCTTCTATCCTAGGGTTCACTCCCCAAATACCTACAACGGCCAGGGCTGGGCCAGGCTAAAACCAGGACCTAGGAACTAAATCCATGGGGTCCTGAGCCATCGCTTCCCCAGCGCTTTAGCAGGAAGCCGGGCGGGAATCAGAGGAGCCGGGACTGCATTCCAGGCTCTCTGATAGGGGACAGTGGCCTTGACTGTCTGCTCCATACGCCTGCCCCAAGTCTCAGCTTTATTCTGTGGCTTTGGGCAAGTAACTCCTTCTGAAGCGGAGGGAACAGTAGCCCTGGCCGTCTCCCCAGAGTGGACCCTGAGACAGAGCTAGGAGGCCAGGGAGTCTCCTCCGGAAGCAGTTTAGGGGAGCTGCCTGAGGTTCCCCAGCCTGTTGTAACAAAGTATAACAAAGTATCCCAAGGTACTTGGCGCTCCTGCCTGCCGGGGCCCTGGGCGCACAGGAAGCTGGAGGCAGGAACTGATGCCACAGCTACTCCGGTGTGGGTTGCAGGGGTCTTAACCGCTGGGCCAGATAGCTGCCCGCATATCTCCTCTTCACTCTCGTAAGGACTGGGTGAGGATGACATGGGAGCCGCTCAGATAATCCAGGATAATCCCCAGCCCCAGCCTCTCAAGGTCCTTAACCGCCTTGGGGAAGTCCTTTGTGCCGTGGAAGGTGACCCGCACACAGGTCCCAGGCACAGTGCAGAGGCTCCTAATGCTGTCTTCCTTAGAGGGTGGTGATGAGCAGATAAAGCACCTGCCGAGAGGGACCCGGCGCTCTACGAGAACCGGCCGCGCCACCCCCAATCCACCCTGCTCCTTTGTCCACTCCAGACCCTGAAGAACCGGTGGCTCCAGCAGTACAGCCACGAGTCAGCCAACCCGGGGATCCTCGTGCTCCTGGCCTGCGGCACCGTCTCCAGCACCTGCGGCCAGATAGCCAGTTACCCCCTGGCCCTGGTCCGGACACGCATGCAGGCCCAAGGTGAGGCCTGGCTGGAGTCTGGGTGGGGGTGTGGGAGGGGGACGAGGAAGGGAAAGGCACACCCCATGGGGCCCAGCTCCCTGTAGTCGGGTCCTGGGCTGGGATCCTCCAGGATCTAGAGAGGGCTTTGGCTAAGGTCCTAGCCCTTCTCGGGACAGGGGATGGGAGTCCTGTGTCCCTTGGGATCATTGCCTGGGGAGAACAGGTGCCTCGGGCCCTGGCAGGGTGGGTGACGGCGAGGGGGAAGGGCCGGCCAGGGGGAAGGCAGCTCAAGGCCAGGCCCCTGACTGTTTCTGCATTTTCTTTCTCCCCCCTCCACTCGGCGCCCCCCCACTCTCCCTGGATCTGTGTTGAGAATTTCCTTGGGAAATTTCTTAGTTTTCACTGGCGGGAGGGGGAGGGGGTGGAATTATCAGCACCCGAGGTGGACGGGGTCCCCTACCTTCATGGAGCTCACAGGGCCCGAAAGGAGATGAGACGCCAAATAAACCATTCCACTGTTCAGTACCGACTTAGGGGTGAACAAGGGACGGGAGGAGGAGCCAGACTGTGCCTGGGAGGGCCCCCGGGGAGGGCCGGCTCTGGAACAGAGGTTGGGAGAATGAGTGGGGAGGAGCTAGGAAGAGGAGGGAGGCAGAATGACGGCAGGGTTGTATTTCTACCAATACACACATGCATGTGCACACGCAAGCACATGCATACATGGTCACGCATACTGCATGCACACATACACGCGCACACGCAAGCACATGTATGTCTACACACAGGTGCATACATGCACACACATAATGCATTGCGCACACGTGTACACGCGTGTATATGCATACATGTGTGTGCTTGCACACACAGTGGCCAGTCCCAGCTGTGCCCAGGCAGGGGAGGGACAAGTGACAGGGGGACAGACCGGAGGCCTTACCCAGCCCCGCCCCCCCAGCCTCCGTGGAGGGCGCCCCCCAGCACTCCATGCTAGGCCTGCTGCGGCACATCCTGGCCCAAGAGGGCGTGTGGGGCCTCTACCGGGGCATCGCGCCCAACTTCATGAAGGTCGTTCCGGCCGTGAGCATCTCCTACGTGGTCTACGAGAACATGAAGCAGGCCCTGGGGGTCACGTCCAGGTGAGGGACCCCGAGCCCTCCCCTCTTCCCTCACAAGCTCCCGCACCCCGATTCTGACCTCCCCACACCTGAGCCGCTGGAGACTGACGCCCCAGCCAGGTGAATCCCAGGTCCTCCCCCACCACCCAGTCCCAGATCCCTGCAGCCTGACTGTTCCTGTCTGAGACCTGAACTGCGAGATCCAAGGTCATCCACACCCCCGCCCTTAACCCTCATCCCCCTACACACTGGAGCCTGCACCTCCACACCCCAAAGTGGACCTCAGGTCAACCACTGGACGCCCCACAGCTCAGCAAATGGGTCCTGATTGTGCAACCACGTCCCCCAACCCCAGCCCCGTACCTCGCCACCCAGACCTTAGCTCCCTCTGGATCCTGGCTCCCCCACCCCACTGGCGAACTGAGATCCCTTTGCCTCGAGAGCCCTGCATCTCCAAGCTCAGCCACTGGATTCTGGATGACAAGAAACCTCAGCCACAGGATCCTGACAATGCGGTGCCAGAGCCCGGGGCCCCAAGCACTGGATCCCAGATCCCCTCACCCCGGCCACTGGATTTCTGAATTCCTTTACCTCGACACGGGGGTCCCAGACCCTTCTGCTTCGACTGCCAGATCCCTGCATTCCAAGTGCGACGCCCTCAGTTCCCCAAACCCTGGATCCCAGCTTCCCGAGCCCCGACCCACTGGATCCTGGCTCCTAAAACCACAACCAGCGGGAGCCCAGATGCACAGCAGGTGGATCCTGGCAACTGCGGCTGCTGGATTCCAGATTCTAGATCCCAGGTCCCTTCACCCCAGTCACCGGATACTGAGACCACATCTGTAGAAGGCAGACCCCCACTCCCCAGCTCCAGCACTGGATCCCAAGCTCTTAACCCCTGGCTTTTGGTTGGATCCTGAATGTTCACACACCCTCCTCCACCCCCAAGTCTAGGTCCCCGTAGTCTGATCCCAGCATCGTGGCTCCCTCGTGCTGCAGCCCAGAGCTCTCTCCCTTTCCCAGTGATTGGGGGAATTACCCTAAGGAGCTTCCACCTTCCACGGATGCCCAGGTCCTCACCACCAGGCTCCAGAAAACCTGGGTCTGTCGCAGGTCCTGCCATGGCTTGACTCCTGGCCAGGCTACAAGGAAAGTAATGCAGCTCCCCCCACTTGCACAGAAAGATGCCAGGTCCCCCCCAAACCTCCCAGCATGGCCACACCTGGCCCTGTGGGGAAACTGCCCCCCTCAGACCACGGCACGCACCCTCTGTGGCATCTTCCCTCCCCTTCCCACTGCATGGTTTAATAACCCTCCCGGTGCCCAGGTGCCCCCTTCCTCGGGAGAGGCCACTCATTTGGGGAGCGGGCGGGGATGCCAGGCTCCGCAGCCAGCCCCTCCCCAGGCTTCGGAGTCGGAAGCCGGGACCAAACCCACGAGGACCACACTTGCACACACGCGAACCTCCAAACTCAACTCCAGGTCTATTTTTCTACCAGAGAGAGGAGGCGCAAACTCCCCTCCCCCACCCGCCCCAGTTCCCTCCCCACCCTCGAATGTTCTGCACTTTATACTTGGATTCTGAGCTTAGGAGAATTGGGGGACCCCTCTCTCCACGCCTCACCAGTCCTTGGGGAGCCCCATGTTGAGGTTCTGCGAAAGAGGAACTGGGATGCTGGAGGGGGTGGCTGGAGGACCCCCCCCCATGACTTCCGCCTCCACCCTCCACCTCCCTGCCTGCGTGTGTCATTTCAAAGGAAACGAACAAAAGGAATAAATTTTCTAAGCTCCTCTGTTGTGGTTTCTACTGAAAAGGGGCGGGAGGCTGTGGGACCACCTGGAGCCGTGCAGGGAGGGCAGGCCCGTTGCCACGACACCCAGCGACACCTTGGAGTCAGTCTCCCCCTTGCCAGCTTTTCCTATATTTTAAATTTTGTATTTAGTTATTTATGTTTGAGAGGCAGACAGATCTGAAGTCAGGAACCAGGAGCAACATCCAGGCCTTCCGTGTGGGTGGCAGGGACCCACGTACTTGAGCCATCACCTGCTGCCTCCCCACTAGCAGGAAGCTGGAATTGAGATGACAAAAAAAACTGGGGGCTGGCGCCACGGCTCACTAGGCTAATCCTCCGCCTAGCGGCGCCGGCACACCGGGTTCTAGTCCCGGTCGGGGCGCCGGATTCTGTCCCGGTTGCCCCTCTTCCAGGCCAGCTCTCTGCTGTGGCCAGTGGAGGATGGCCCAAGTCCTTGGGCCCTGCACCCCATGGGAGACCAGGAGAAGTACCTGGCTCCTGCCATCTGATCAGCGCGGTGCGCCGGCCGCAGTGCGCTGACCGCGGCAGCCATTGGAGGGTGAACCAATGGCAAAGGAAGACCTTTCTCTCTGTCTCTCACTCTCTCACTGTCCACTCTGCCTGTTAAAAATAATAATAATAAATGATAGGATAGATAGAAGACAGTGGTAGAATGAACACATAGCTAATAGAGATAGAAGGATGGATGGATGCATGGGTAAGTAGGTATATGATAGAACAATAGATGGATGGAATAATGGGTGGATACATTCAGTGATAAAATAATGGATAGATCAGGGCCAGCACCATAGCTCACTTGGCTAATCCTCCACCTGCGGTGCTGGCATCCCATATGGGCACCAGGTTCTAGTCCCTGTTGCTCCTCTTCCAGTCCGGCTCTCTGCTGTGGCCCAGGAAGGCAGTGGAGGATGGCCCAAGTGCTTGGGCACCTGCACCCAGGTCGGAGACCAGGAAGAAATACCTGGCTCCTGGCTTCGGATCGGCGTAGCTCTGGCCATGGTGACCATTTTGGGAGTGAACCAACGGAAGGAAGACCTTTCTCTCTCTCTCTCTCTCTCTCTCTCTCTCTCTCTCTCTCTCTCACTGTCTAACTCTGTCAAATAAATTTTAAAAATAAATTAAAAAATGGACACATGGCAGATAAATGATAGAGGGATGGATGGATGGATAGATATGATAGAAAGATGGGTGGACAGATGCTAGAACAGTGGATGAACAGAAGGAGAAAAACCCTCTTCTGTACCCACATGTTCTGCATCTGCACTCAACCAAATAATCAAAAATATTCATTTAAAAAAAATTGGAGCTGGCACTGTGGCACAATGGGTTAACATCCTGGCCTGAAGCGCCGGCATCCCATATGGGCGCCGGTTCTAGTCCCAGCTGCTCCTCTTCTGATCCAGCTCTGTGCTGTGGCTTGGGAGAGCAGTAGATGGCCCAAGTTCTTGGGCCCCTGCACCTGCATGGGAGACCCAGAGGAAGCTCCTGGCTCCTGGCTTTGGATCTGCGCAGCTCCGGTCATTGTGGCCAACTGGGGAGTGAACCATCAGATGGAAGGCCTCTCTCTCTCTCTCTCTGCCTCTCCATCTCTCTCTGTGTAACTCTGACTTTCGAATAAATAAATAACATCTTTTTTAAAAATTGCATCTTTTACTGAATGTGTGCGGGTTATCTTTCTTGTCATTCCCTAAGCACTACAGGGTAACAACTCCTTCCATACATGTGTCTAGAATTACGCATTAAGTCGTTGAGGGGAGCTCTAAAGCACACAGAGGCAGGCATGTGGCCAGGGTTCAATTCCTGGCTTCAGTTCCAATTCCTGAGCTGCTTTGGCCCTGGCCCTGGCCATTGTGTGTGTTTGGAAAGTGAACTAGCCGATGGGAGCTCTGTGTCCAGTGCCCAAACAGCAGGGCTGGAGCCGGGAACTCCATCCTGGTCTCCCACGTGGGCGGCAGGAACCCAGGTACTTGGGCCACCACTGCTGCATCCCAGGGTCTGCATTAGCAGGAAGCCGGGGTCAGGGCCAGGAACCCAGACGTACCCATTAGCATCTTAACCTCTGGGCCAAACATCCAACCCTCTCTTACTTGTTTCACCCAGCCATTAATCCCATCATTGGGCAGCAACATCATCTCACCCTAAAGACCCCCTGAAGTCCCCACCTCCAAATTCCATCCTGCTGGGCTTTAGGGCTCCAGCAGAATCATTTTTTTTTTTAAGATTTATTTACTTATTTGAAAGTCAGAGTTAAACACAGAGAGAAGGAGAGGCAGAGAGAGAGAGAGAGGTCTTACATCTGCTGGTTCACTCCCAAGATGGCCACAACAGCCAGAGCTGTGCCAATCCGAAACCAGGAGCCAGGAACTTCCTCTGGGTCTCCCAAGTGGGTGCAGGAGCCCAAGGACTTGGGCCATCTTCTACTGCTTTCCCGGGCCATAGCAGAGAGCTGGGTTGGAAATGAAGTAGCCAGGATTTGAACCGGCATCCAAATGGGATGCCGGCACTGCAGGCAGCAGCTTTACCCACTATGCCATAGCACCACCCCCCAGCAGAATCGTGTTGGTGGGTCACAGTCCAAATCCTCACAATTTACACTCTCAGGTTTGGGGGCTAGGGCAAGCACCTCGCAGCCACCAGCCCAGCCCAGTGAGGTCACTGGAGTCTCTTCTATGACCTCATCATCCCCTAGGACTCCAATTCACAAGGCGCTGGCTCCTGCCACTAGTCACACCCCTGTACGTGATAGTGGGATAGACTCCCTTGGGACCAGCACCCAGGGGTCCCAGCCTCCACCTGCCATGGGCTCTGACCCTGAGGAAGCTCGGAAGCCTTGCTCGAGGGTCCAGACCTTGCTGAAGAGGGTCAAGGCCTCATTCACCAAAGCCCCGCCTTCGCCTCCACCCCCAGTCCCGCCCCTGCCCCCCTCCTGGAACCCGGGCTGCACACATGTGTACGGCTACGTGTTTGGGCATGTGCATGAGAACCACTTGGAACATCTCCCGTCTCAACAGGTGAGTCGAGGAACCACAGATCTCCCGGCACTTCCAGGCCCCGGGTCGGTTCACACCTGCCAGGTGGCTCGGAACTCCCCTCCAGACAAGGGGTCCAGGGTAGGTGGGCCTTTTGCCAGGGTGACACCCTGGGAAAGGACCTGCAGGCTGTCTGAGGATGGGTGAGGGCTGGGTGTGCCTGCAGGTTCTGGACACTGGAGAGCAGCTGATGGTCCCCGTGGAGGTCTTGGAGGTGGACAACGAGGGAGCATTGTGGAAGTTTCTGCTCTCAGGAGCCATGGCTGGGGCAGTGTCTCGTACGGGCACAGCCCCCCTGGACCGCGCCAAGGTGTACATGCAGGTGCGTAGGGGGAACACAGCTCTGGAGGCCTTGGGGGACTGCGTGGGGTGGGGAATTCGTGGAGCTGGCATTGATGTAGCTCAGGGCGGGGTGGGGGCTGGAGGGTGGGGGCTGGAGGGTGGGGTTCTCGTGAGACCAGAGTTGCAGATGACAGTGGGGCTGGTGGGGATGGGGCAGGGAGGAAGTAGAGAGAATGGTAATGGGTTGGGGTTGGAGATGGGGGGACTGGGGTCTCGGGGTGGGGCTGAATGCTGAGCTGAGTTGGGCTAGAGTCCTACAGCGCTGGCCATGCGAGGAGCTGGAGAGGGAGTGGATGGGGCTGGCACGGGGGCAGAGACGGGGGTGGGGACTCTCACAGCGCTCCTCCATGGGCCCCCAGGTCTACTCCTCCAGGACGAATCTCATGAACCTGCTAGGGGGGCTTCGGAGCATGGTGCAGGAGGGAGGGGTTCGCTCCCTGTGGCGCGGCAATGGCATCAACGTGCTCAAGATTGCCCCCGAGTATGCCATCAAGTTCTCCGTCTTCGAGCAGGTGGGCGGCCGGCGGCCCCTGTTCCCCCCCACACACCCGCCTCCGCCAAAAAGTCCACAGGCCCCGGGCCCCTCCCCCTGGCTTCCAGAGGGACAGCAGCTGGCCACTGCCTCACTCTCCTCCCTCCCGCGCAGTGTAAGAATTACTTCTGCGGAGTGCACGGCTACCCACCCTTCCAAGAGCGCCTGCTGGCCGGCTCCCTGGCCGTGGCCATCTCCCAGACCCTCATCAACCCCATGGAGGTAAGAGAACGGCCACTCCACCGGCAGGGTCAGGAGGAGGGGCTGCGAGTTAGCTTCTGGCTGCAACCCCTGCTGCTTCCTCCGTCCTCCTCTCCCCAAACTCCTCTACTGCCTCCTCCCTCTCCCCACTTTTTCTTTTAAAGATTTTAAGCCAGAGTTAGAGAGAAAGTCTTCCATCCACTGGTCCACTCCCCAAATGGCCACAATGGCCAGGGTTGGCCAGGCAGAAGCCTGGAACCTGGATATCCATCCAGGTCTCCCATGCAGCTGCAGGGGCCCAAGCACTTGGACCATCCTCCACTGCTTTCCCAGGTGCATTAGCAGGGAGCTGGATCGGAAGTGGAGCAGCTGGGACTCGAACTGGAGCCTTATATGGGATGCTGGCATTAAGAGGGCAGCTTTACCCTCTGCATCACAACACCAGCACCAAAATTTCTTTTTTTCTTTTTAACTTGAAAAATATTTATTTATTTATTTGAAAAGCAGTTACAGAGAGGCAGAAGCCGAGAGAGAGGTCTTCCATCTGCTGGTTCTTTCCCCAAATGGCCACAATGGCCAGAGCTGGGCCAATCAGAAGTCACGAGCCAGGGCCTGCTCTGGGTCTCCCACATGGGTGCAGGGGCGCAAGGACTTGGGCCATCGTCCACTGCTCTCCCAGGCCACAGCAGAGAGCTGGATTGGAAGTGGAGCAGCCAGGATTTGAACCAGCACCCACATGGGAAGCCGGTGCTGCAGGCAGTGGCCTCACCTGCTATGCCACAGCACTGGCCCCCTATTTTGTATTTACTTGCAAGGCAGAGAGACAGAAGCAGAGAGATCTTCCATCCACTGATTCACTGCCTAAATGCCCCTCAATAGCTGGGGGCTATGCCAAGCTGAATCGAAGAGACTGGAACTCAATATTGTTGTGTGTTTTTTTTTTTAATTTATTTATTTGAAAGACAGAGTTACAGAGAGAGGTAGAGACAGAAAGAGAGAGAGGTCTTGGCCAGCGCCACGGCTCAATAGGCTAATCCTCCACCTGCGGCGCCGGCACCCCGGGTTCTAGTCCCGGTTGCCCCTCTTCCAGGCCAGCTCTCTGCTGTGGCCCGGGAGTGCAGTGGAGGATGGCCCAAGTGTTTGGGCCCTGCACCCCATGGGAGACCAGGAGAAGCACCTGGCTCCTGCCTTCGGATCAGCGCGAAGCGCCGGCCGCAGTGCGCCGGCCGTGGCGGCCATTGGAGGGTGAACCAACGGCAAAAGGAAGACCTTTCCCTCTGTCTCTCTCTCTCACTGTCTACTCTGCCTGTCAAAAAATAAAAATAAAAATAATAAAAAAAAGAGAGGTCTTGCATCTGCTGGTTCACTCCGGCGCCCATATGGGATGCCGGCACTGCAGGTCAGGGCTTTAACCCGCTGTGCCACAGCACTGGCCCCGAATCAACTTGCCTGACTCAGAAAACAAATTTGGGGGGGTGGATGTTTCCACCAAGTAGAATACCCCTATCCCATAATGGAGGACCTGGTTTGAGTCCTGGCTGCTCTGCTCCCAATCCTGCTCCTTGCTCATGGGCACCCTGGGAGGCAACAGGTGATGGCTCAAGTCCTCGGGCTCCTGCCACCCACAGGAGAGACCTGGCTGGAGTTTCTGGATACTGGCTCAGAACTGACCCAGGCCCAGCTGTCTCGGGCAACGGAGGAGTGAACCAGCAAACTGAACATCTCTCTCTCTCTCTCTCTCTCTCTCTCTCTTTCTGCCTTTCAATGCAATACAAACAAAAACTGAAATTTTTGCTTTTAAAGGGAGTGACTGATCCGAGCTTCCAATTACTCTGACTTCCAGTGCCTGTGGCCATAGGTATTCATCCCCTGGTGGGATAGGTTCTCTTGATTGCCTTCGGCAAAACCTCCACACCTTTGCCTTCTGGCTTGTTCCGGTCCCTTCTGACATCATCCCGGGGTGAAACTGCATCATAGTCACAGGCCCTGCAGAGTCGTGTGCGCTGTGTCCGTGGACTGAACCAACTGCATATGGAAACATTTTGCATGTGTCACTAACTTATTTTCATATTATTTGAAAGGAGGAGAGACAGAGAGAGAGCTCTCCTCTGGTCCCTGGTTCACTCCCCAAATGCCGACAACAGCCAGAGCCGGGCCAGACCCAAGCCAAGAGGAGGCTGGAGCTCCATCCAGGTTGTCCACGTGGCTGGCAGGGGCCCAGGTGCTTGAACCATCACCGGCCGCCTCTCAGGTTGTGCATCAGTAGGGAGCTGGATCAGGAGCACAGAGCCGGGACCGGCACCGTGGTGCAGCAGGTTCAGCCACCGGCAGTGTCCCGTGTGGACCCCGGTTCAAATCCTGGCTGCTCCACTTCCACTTCAGCTCCCTGCTAATGCACCTGGGAAAGCAGCGGAAGATGGCCCAAGTGCTTGGGCCCCTGCACCCACGTGGGAGACCTGGAGGAAGCTCCTGGCTTCAGTCTGGCTGTTGTGGCCATTTGGGGAGTGAACCAGTGGATTGACGCTCGCTCTCTCTCTCTCTCTCTCTCTCTCTCTCTTGTGCTGGGTTAACCACTGTGCCAAAAGGCCACCCGGAAAATACATTTTAAAAAATTTTTACTGTACTCATACTGAACATGTATACACTTTTTTCCTTGTCATTTTCCTCTAAGCAATATAATGTGTAGCAACTGTTCACCTAGCATTTACCCCATACATTAGGTATTGTAAGTAATCTGGATGTGATTTAAAGTATATGGCAGGATGAATGCACGTTTTGTGCAAATAGT